TAGCCTCTTTTTCAACTCCCGTGCCTGTGATTCCTTCGTTGCTACCCCCAACTGTTACTATTCCTTCCTCAACTGTTCTTACCTCAACTGTTCTTACCTCTTCTACCACTCCTCCTTTGATAATTTCACCTCCAATCGTTCATCATACTGAGGTGGGTTCTTCAAGTAGAAGTGCCGCTATGAGGAGGGTGGTTATTGAAGTTCCTGCTGAGAGCGGCCTTTTGAGGAAATCAGGTCAGGCAGATGTATGGCTGGAGCCTTTGATTGGCCCAATTGAAAAAGCAAAGCTGGAGAGCCATAGTTCCCTGACTCTGATGAACGATATTGTGCATGCTAGCTTGAAGGTATTTACATTTTTTTTACTTTGTAATTTTTTTTCTTTGGGATTCTAATTTCTCTTTCCCCTTTTTTTTAGGCCAATCTTATCGGTACATAAATGATGAACAGAATCCCCCTCTTGGAGCAGATAGCACGCGATTCTCAATTAGAGGCATTAAATTGGAAGGAGCAGTTTGAGAGTTTACAAATTGATGTGGAATTCTTACAAGAGGGTAAGAGTACCTTAGAGCAGCAGGTGCGAGCTTTAACCTCAGAATTAGCAGTTACAAAAGCTTCATTAAGCCAAACAGAAAAAGAAAAAGAGCGTCTCTCTTCCTTCTCAGAACAACTATCCAAGGCCAGTGAAGAGAACAGAGAGTTGAAGGTTCTCTTGAGTCAAAAAGAGACTTACTCTGGGGAGCTCGTGCAAAGCTTAACTATAGCACAAGAAGACCTTCGAGTCTCTTCTGATAAGGTGCGTGCTTTAGAAAGCTCCCATGCCTCTTTTCAAATTTCTTACAACTCTGCCCTGGCTGAAAATGAGGAGCTAAAGAAAGGGATTGCTGATTGGGAAAGGGATTATGAGACCCTTGAAGGGAAATCTGCTATTGAGGCAAGTTGGGCGTTTCTGAACTCACGCCGTGATACCCTGATTGAAGCTGGCCAAGAAAATTTCAACTTAGAGTCTGAGTTGGCTAAGATCAATGAAACCATTGAGAAGGCTCACCAAACTCAAGATTTTCCTTCTCCTGTGGCCGAAGCTTCCGTGAATGTTAAAGTTGATATGGGTATCCCAACTTTTCCAAGCCCTGTCGAGCCTGTTGCTGCGAGTCAAGATCAACCCGCAACTGTTGATGCACCTGCCCAAGTTGAGCTCGTTGCCGTTGATGCACCTTCTTCAGTTCCCTCATCTTCTTAGTGATAAATTTAAACAGTTTGAATTCTCTCTTTTTTGCAGGTACCTTTTTGGAAGGTTATGTTTAAAACCCTTGGTTTCATTTGAGGGNTAACAAAATAATGTTCACGGAACTACCTGGATCAATTAAAACTCGTTTCAGGATAGTGTCATGTACAAGTAAAGATATTACCAGTGCGTCGTTATGTGGAGTTAATAGACCCTCGGTATCTGCATCATTGAACGTAATATTTTCTTCCTCTAACACATGTCGCAGCCGCTTCCCGTGGGTAATTGTAACTTTGGAAATCTTGTTAGCTGCGGTGTACGATACGCCATTGACGTCTTCACCCTCGCTTATAACGTTGACAGTTCTTTTGGGAGAAGGTGGTTTTGGAGGTTCCTGCCTGTTTTTCATGTATGATTCTTTACCTTTCTCACTGAATAACTCAGTGAGATACCCCTGTTTTAACAAATGATCAATTTCACCCTGCAAAAACCTGCAATCTGCCGTTTTATGCCCATGATCGTTATGGAATTCGCACCAATGATCAGGGTTTCGTCTGTTTGGATTTGATCTCATTTCCTTCGGCCATCGTACCTTATCTCCCATGCTTCTTAAAACAGCCACGAGTTCAGAAGTGCTCACGTTGAAGTTATAACCGCCAAACCTTGCCTTTAGACCTCTATCATCATCTCTTGATTCACGTGTGCTTTGGTCATTCCCAAATCTAGATGATGAGCCTGGCTCTCTATTCCTCGATCTGTGATCGTACCTTTGATTGTCCTGTTTTGACCGTGAGTCTTTTCCCGCAGGTCCCATGTATGGCTCGTACCTATTTTTACCGGACCTTTTTTCGTTTTCCGCCCGTCTTGAGCTTACCTTTTCTTCTTTATGATGTCGTGAAATAATATCTTCTTCAATCCTCAACTTTGTGCTATATCTGTTGTAAACGTCATTCCATGTTGTAGCTGGGAATTCACGAAGGCTTTCCTTGAGTCGCCTCGTAGCTTCTGAACTCTTTTCATTCAAATTGCTTGTGAAGGCTATAGCTGCCCAATTGTCAGGTACACGCGGTAATGTCATTCTTTCACGTTGGAATCTGTCCACGAATTCCCTAAGCAATTCTGAGTCCCCTTGCTTGATCTTGAAAATATCTTCCATTCTTTTTTCGACTTTTTGAGTTCCCGAGTGCGCTTTAATGAAAGAATCTGCAAGCTCAGCAAAAGAATTTATAGAATTTTTGGGTAAAAGAGAATACCATGTTAGCGCTCCTTTAGTGAGTGTTTCACCAAATTTTTTGACTAATACTGATTCAATATCTTGCTTAGTCAAATCGTTGCCTTTTATGCCTGTTGTAAATGCAGTCACGTGATCTCGTGGGTCTGTTGTTCCGTCATATTTTGGAATATTAGGCATTTTGAACTTCTTTGGAATTGGAAGGGGAGCAGCGCTTAGCTTCCAGGGCTGTTGAGAATACTTATCCATATATACCCCTTTGATCACGGGTGGCACCCCGGGTATTTGCTCTATGCGGTCACTTTGCTCCTTGAGATGTTTCTGCAATGTTAGTACTAAGTTTTGTAAATCAGAATTAACTAAATTACCTGGTTCTCCCTCCTGTGATTTGCTGGGGGTTCCACCACTACTTGAATTAACGAGCCCGGAACGAGGGTTCTCCAGAGTGTTGTTATTTGGAGTGGGTGTGGGTAGTGCAGCAGGTAATTGGCTAACAAAAGCCTGAAGAGCTTTATTGACTTGTGAGGCAATAAGTTTTTGCAAAGCCTCATCCATAGTTTCAACATTTTCGAATTGAGCTTGTCTATCTGTATGAGACCCATCAGGAGTGCCTTCACGAGACCGCCGTGGAGAACCTCGTGGACAAGGAATCAGTACGTTATTGTTCTGTGGATCTCCCTGAAGTTGCTGGGTTGTTTGATTCTCTTGGTTTCCTTGAATGTTGTCATTGTTGTTCGACATGGTTGATGCAACAAGGAAAGTTAGGCTAAAATAAAATGGATTATCAGATTCCCGGTAACAGAACCAATTTGTTTAACCAAAAAATAAAATTTTGACTAAAGCTATAATTTAAAAGAACACGGGTTACTGATAATCGCAAGAATGTATAAAAGAAAGTAATTTGGATAGCCATAAAATAATTGAATAAAACAAGTAAACAAAGTATATTCAGATGATCTTTCGTATCCCTACAATTGTTCAACCCTCTCCTTTTTATAGTTATTTTTGAGATGTATGTCTTGCCTTTGTCATAATAAGGCCATTATGGGCAATTAATGGCATTGAATGCTACGTTACATAATCATTATATTCAAGACAGGTTCTATAACGTTTTTAGCATTTAAGGCTTATTAAATACTGTATTTGGACTCCCATGTGTTGTCAAATTCATTCCCTTGATTCTTCTTGATTCTTGAATTTAAATGTCTTGAATAGGTACGGGCGATGAATCCTTTGAATGTCTGCCCGTGCCTCTTCCTTTGCCTTTGCTCGCATCCATTGCTACCCGTGCCTCTTGGCTAGTTGAAATTCTTTGACCATTTGACCAGTCTACGTGTCACGACACGTCATCTCCATACTACTTTAATATGTAAACTCAATTTTCCCAATACACCATGTATTCATGAATACAGCATCAAAATGCGCCTAAAATCAGGGCAGTCCAGCTGTACACGCATGTATTCACATGTATTCGCGCCATGTATTCATGAATACAACATTAAAATGCGCTCAAAATCAGGGCAGTCCAGCTGTACGCGTATGTATTCACATGTATTCACGCTGCTGTATTCATGAATACAACAGTAAAAAGCGCATAAAATCAGGGCTGTCCAACTATACGCCCATGTATTCACATATATTCGCAACATGTATTCATGAATACAGTGACAATCACCTTAAAAAAGGTATGTCCAGCCATCTAAGAGAGAGGAAAAACATAAATAGCGTATTTCATGCCTTAATGGTAGTATATACCATAAATACTTATTTTGCTATAAAATATAAAAGATAGTTATAGAAAATAATATTTTAAAATGATTTTGGCTTATAATAAATAGGGTGTATACCTCTGCTGTAGGACGTAAAATTTCCATAAGATTATCCATCCCCCATTCCTGCTCCCAATAAATAGATTTTCTTCATTAACCTATTCCAAATGATCAAAACTTTATGTGACGTCTTTCATACGCTTGGAGTTTACTTGCTCCCAGTATTTCGTAAAGATTGACACTATTATCTTATTAGCCCGTTATAAAAAGATTGACACCTTTCAATATTTCTTTGATAGAAAGTATTTATTGCCACACAAATATTATGACAAGTTTCAGACTACAAGTTTCAAACATTTCACAGCCGCACAAATGTTAGGCTTATTTAAGACCACATATCTCGAAAGTCCTTCTTTATTAAAGTTTGTGCCAAGTCAAACTAAGACAATGTTTTTGAAAATTGAAACCTGGGGAGTATCATTTGTCAATGCATTTATAAATCTAATGACTTACAGAATAGACATTCCTGCATAAGGAAGATGCTATACTTAGTAGAGGCTGATTCGATTAGAAAAAAAATGTTGATACATTAAGTTTAGATTTCACAAGCATCAAATCTGAAAACCCTGAAGTGAATTCTGAAAAATGATTTTGCGGATACACACTTCTCATCTCCATTTTCCCATCCTAATTCATCGCGGTTGATTATTCTGATAGTAGACCATTTCTAACGATAATCTAGATCGTAAACCTATTGTCAGCTAGTCAGATCAATAAAGGATAAGAAAAAGAGAGCATTTCAATTTCAAACAGAGGTGTAGACCAGTTCCCTTACAACTATAGCAGAGGTTCAGAAGTTTGCAGGAAAAATAACAAAGCTTCAGAAGTTTGTATGTTAAAATAACAAAGCTTCGGAAGACAATGACAAATATACAATGCATCTAAAGATCTCATATATACCAGATTGAGACTACTAACACGACTCCTTATTCAGCAATAGATGGTATTCGAGTCACAATGCACTTCCACTCTCTAGTTTTTCAGAACATTCATGAAACACAGATAGAAAAACTGGGCCTGATCGCTTAACCTCACCATCCTCTCTGAGAACCACCAGATGAATGTCCATTCAACCTATCCAGGACAGCATTGAAATCAACAGGCTGACCACTTTCCTCGAGCCTTTGGATCACATTAACAACATGATCAGCGCGGTAGCCCATACTCACTAGCTTTTCAATCAGCTCGTTGTATGGATGGTTGCGCACCAACTGAGGTGGACAAACCATCAGATTTGCACTGGGGGTTGACTGCGGATTTTGGGGAGGGAAGCTGGAGGGAGGATAACCACTTTGTGAGAAATTTGGTTGTGGTGGTGGATGGCCCCTTGTGCCTTCACCCTCATACATCAGATATGCATTTACTGGAGAGAGTGTTGGATGAGCTCCACTAGCTGCATACCCATCGCCCACGGCACCAAATGAAGGCTTAAGATGCGCCGCCGCAGGCTGTTGCTGAAGGGGCCTGCCAGACCTATCATACCCATAAGGCATTGCATCGGGATGGCTAGCAACTGATTGAGATATTCCAGAAAACGGCACTTGCATTGGCATACTATTGGGCGCTGTCTCAGGAGTAGGATTAGGCTGACTGGGCGGATAAGAGGGATAAACAGCAGGTGATGTAGGTCTAGCTTGCTGTTGCATACTTGGTATTTGTGAATGTTGAACCTGTTGTGGCACCTGTTGGGCCCACTGCTGCTGATATTGGGGCATTGACTTGACTTGTGGTGTCTGATTCACCTGAGCTGGCGCTGGCTGTGGTGGTACTTGCATTTGAGGATTTCGATACTGGGAGTCAGATGACAAATACTGACCTTGAGACAACTGAGTTGGAGCTTGTTGATTTACCATCTGAGGAGGGGGTAAATAATATCCTTGCGACTGGGGCATACTTTGGGATGGAATTGGTTGCGGAGGCTGCACTGGTAGCTGTTGTGGCTGCTCCACAGGTCGGCTAGTAAGAGAAGCCTGGGGTGCCACTTGATGAGGTAATGCAAGAGCCAGTTGCTGTCCATGCACTTCAGGTGAGTTATCACTTTTTTTAGCATCAGACAGGTGTTGAGCATTCTTCTCCTCATTCTGCTGAGAATTGCTGGATGAAGTTGAGTCTTTCTGTGCAAGCTGAAGCTTGGCCAGCTCCTTTTGAGTTTCAGCAAGTTCTTGTTTATCTCTTAGAATCTGCACAGATCGGTGGACCTGCAGGATGAGCAGTTTAGTAAATCATTAGCTATTTAAGTTTTTGAATGGAATCAACAGCTATTTAAGTTATGACACAATGTGATGGAAAAACCATTGAACACCAAAGAGCAACTTGAAAATTGCCAGTGGCAAGAACGAAATCATCCATATGCCTTAGAACCGACAAAAGCACAAGTTTAGAGGTATAAGAATAGCAGAAAGTGCATCTAGAGCTTCAAGCACAAAAACAACAAAAAAGCACGTCTCTGCAGAGAAATAGGAAAGAAAACTAGTCAATCGTCATTATTGGTGTCTCTGTTATAATGGGGAGTTATTCTATTCACAACAGATTTCCCCCGAACTACACCAACCCAAATCAGATAAATAGTGAATTTTGCAACTGGCCGTGTTAACTAATGGAGAAGATGTCTAGTTTAAAAAAATTCTCTACATGCAGTCACATTATAAAGCTCAAAAAAGATCTGCCCCACACAAACTTATCCAGAAACTGCAGGTCCAAGAAAATTCTGCAGACATAAAGCTGCTAACTTCATGTAAAGAATCGAGAAACACATTTCCCTATATGTCCCTCTGTTAAAACTATACCGCAATGAATGCTGCCTTCTATAAGTAACAGGTCAATTTTTAAACTAATTAAAGACATAAGGGAGTGGTAAGCTTTTAAGAGTCCAACTTTATGTAACTCCCACAGTTAGCCTGAACTAACCTCTTGGACATGCTTCTCGAGAGCCTTCAGTTTTAAATCTGCCTCACCATGATCCCGAACTAAATCAGAGCGCATTTCTCCAATAGACTTATCAAGATTGTAACAGTATAATTCCAACTGTGACAAGCGTGAGCTGATTCCCTCTAGGAAACGCATGAGATTGTCGGCATATTTCTTCATGGTCTTCTCAACAGTACATATCATGTCTTGATTGAAGGAAGATTCTTCTGGTGGACTATATGCTGGAGCAGGAAACATTGATGACCTCGTCATTCTGCTTTTGTGGAACTCCTACTCAATACAAGAGCAAAATTAAGTTAAAATTCTTCAAATGCTTCTACAAATTTAATACTCTAATTGAGTTATACTGAGTGTGCAAACATTGGTTAGATTAGATGAATATAGTAGCATGGATCTTTGTATCAATACTTGCAAAGATTACATAAGCATTATGGTGGAGTAGAACTTAATCCTTATGGTAATGCGAAATGGTCCAAATAAGGCCCATTAATGCAACTATTTGATGGTCACTTTCAAAGTGCTAGATAAAACCCAGGCTCAAGGTTCACCGTCAGACCTTAAAACCAGTTCAACCAAGAATATGTGCACCAATGATTTTTTCCCATCAATACTGCACCAGATGATTTTTTTAATCAATACTGAGCTAAATGATTTCAATGAAATACATCTTCTTATACCATATAAAGATTGGCATGACACAGTAACCCCCCTCCCCCCCCCGGGGGGGGGGGGGGGGGTCTCATCCTGGTCAAACTTTAGTCACCTGTTTTTGCAGTTTCATTTATTCGCAAAAAAAAGAGAGGAGAAGAATCCATAGGGAAGAAGGGGCTAGATCATCATTTTGTAAAAGGAAAGATAATAGGAGAGGCATCAATGCTTTTAGCTCCCAACTTACACGACAATATCTCAAGAATGACTATTACTAGCTGAATCAACTGCTAACCAAGTGTTGAGTCAGTAAACCTTTGGCTCTTGAAAATCACAAAAGATTCTCAACACAGTCTTTATAATTTCTCTTCTATAATCTCAGTTCCTAGAAATTTTGACGCAAAGAAAGATATGAAGGAAAAGTTTAACATGCGAGCAAGAAAAGAACAAGATGAATAATACCAAAAATGCAAGAACGGAAGTGAAGGTGAGGTTGTATCAGAATGGAAATCAAACTCTTTCTTCAACGAATGCACATAAGCCAGAATATGGCAAGCACCACCAACAATGATGCAAACAACATAGTTTAAAAGCATCTTTCCACAGACCTATCAAGTTAGGGGAAGAACCCAGTTAGCAACCAATCAGACGCATAAATATCGAGCTGACAAGGTCACACCAATAACCATACAAAAAATTGTATCAGAACTCTCTCTTTGTCCCTTTGCTTTAAAGCAGCATACGTTTCAATGTTCTTCCTATCTCATTTTCTCAGCCAATCCTAGAAACCGAAGCACGAGCTACAGCTATTCCTTACCAGCAAAATATATCATTTCAATAGCTAAATGCAACACAGACACAAAAAGAACATAAACCTAGCTTTGATCAAGGGCATTTACTAAGGAACAAAATCTGTACCAAATTCCTAAATCAGCAACTATTAGCATAATCCAACAGCAAATTCACTAAATTTCCCCGTAAATCTCAAAACCCTAAAGATCAACTACCATAACAAACCCAAAACTTTCACCTTATATTACATAAATAAGGAGAAAAAAATAGTGAGCACCTTAGCAGAATTGGGAGCGATCACAGGATCAGAATGGGTTCCATTAGATGGGTCTTGATTAGCAACATAGTCTTCATACGAACACAGAATATCATCCGACCCGAAATCAAAACCCCCATTGTTTGGTCTCCCAGATGATCCAGATGCCATTTTTCAACGATCCAAAACCTAGGGTTTCGCTTCTATTATCAAATTAACCCAAAAAAAACCTAGAAAAAGGGAAAAAGTTTGTTTCTTGGTAGAGAGATAGAGGTATATTTCACTGCTAAACAGGAAAGTCCGTCGTACTGTAATTTGTCGATTCGTACAACTACTAGTGCACTTCGTATTTACTTGTACTTATACTTATTTTTCTGTTCACATTCTTTTCATACGCTTTGACTTCTTTTTTTTAAATAGCGCAAAAATTATGGGTTGCTGAAATTTAGAAAACAAAGAAAGAAATAGGTTAAAGATTAGGATAAGCCTAATGACCGACCTCGGAAAATAAAAACGACCGACCACGATGATTATGTGGTAGGTTATATGTATTCTACTAGATGAGGAAAGGTCCGTATACGGGCCCAACATTACAATTTTATTAAAATTATTATTTGTTGGTATTTAGTTAATTAACTTTGAGGTTTAACAAGCTATATTTTTAAAAATTACTTTTGAATATAAAAATATTTAGTTTGAAATCGTCTTCAAATAGTATGAATAGATGAAAATCATTTAATTTTTATTTTCAAATTGCTTTAAGATAGTATGGGTAAATTGAAAATCTTGTAAATATCGATACTTCTTTTTGGTTGTTGTTTTATTTAAAAATTAATTTTATTTTATCTATGGTAACTTCTATTTGAATAAAACAAAATTAATAATTTTCCAAAATGAGAAAAAATTTGGAAATGAGCATTTGCACTACACAAATAGTCTAATCAACACATGCACAGTGCATTTAAAGTAGAATTGTGGCTAGAGAAATGTGGGGTCCACGTGTAATTTGCATTTAAAAAATGCAAACATGAAATTTTTATGAAATGACATATATGCCCTTGGTCAACCATCTTTCCTTTTCTATATTAGAATATTATTATTTTGTCATTTTTGCCTTTCTTTATTGCATTCTTTTGCCTAAATCCCTTTCTTTATTACATGCCAAAAATTTGCATTCTTTTTGTGGACGCTATTTATACCTTTTTTCAGTAAGGTATTCTCATATATATGCATATATCTTTGGTTGTTTGAATATAGAACAGTCAAATTGTTATAGATAGAATTTTATTTATGGTGAATGTTTATATTTAGAGAGTTTTTAGGGTTTATTACTTGGTGGCTAAGTCATTCTTTCCCTATAAATAGAGGGTTCTATTCCATTGTAAGAGCCCGTTTGGCTTAGCTGATTTAGAGTAGCTGATAAGCATTAGGTGCTGAAAAGCACTTTTAAGTGCTGAAACTGATTTAAAAAATAAGTAGTTACGTGTTTGGATAAAAGTGCTGAAATTACTAATATGCAGCTGAAGAACTGGGTATACGAAGAGTTTTGTTTTAAAAAGAAGTATTTTAGGGATAGAATAGTAAATATTTTGGTCAAACTTAAAGTGCTTATAAGCTGAAATTTGATAAGTTGGGGGAGACCAACTTATGACTTTTGGCTTATTTTTTGCTTATAAGCACTTTTAATTTTACCAAACGCGTAGATAAGCCAAAAAGTGCTTATAAGCCAGTTTGACCAGCTTATAAGCTTAGCCAAACACCCTCTAATTCATCCCAAAATTCAATAAGAATTCCCCCTCTCTCTTTCTTTGCAATATTGCTCTTGTTCTTTTATTATTTTTATAACACGTTATCAGCATGAGACTCTAACGTCTCAAGAAGCTCTTTGAGAAGATTAAGGTATAACTTTTCTCCTCTTTTTAATTATGACTGACATTATGAAAAGAAAGTTCGTTGCCCTTGAAATTTCGGCAAGAACTATATGACATGGGTGTTGGATGCTGAAATCCATTTAGATGCAATGGGTCTTGGAGACGCCATTAAAGACAAAACTAAAGCATCCACTCAAGACTGTGCTAAGGCCTTGATTTTCTTGCGCCATCACCTTGATGAAGGGTTGAAAATAGAATATCTCACAGTCAAAGACCCACTTCTTTTGTGAAATGGCTTAAAGGAAAGATATGACAAATTAAAGTTGGTCACTCTTCCACAAGCACGATATGATTGGGCTCATCTGAAGCTCCAAGACTTTAAGTCTGTTTCTGAATATAATTCTGCGATGTTCAGAATTACTTCTAAATTGAAACTCTGTGGATATACTATCACTGACTATGATATGCTTGAAAAAACGTTTACAACGTTTCATGCATCCAATATGGTCCTGCAACAGCAGTACAGAGAGAAAGGTTTCAAGAAGTACTCTGAGTTAATTTTTCTTCTCCTTGTGGCTGAACGAAACAACGATTTGCTCCTGAGAAATCACGAAAATCGACCCACTGGGTTAACACCATTGCCTGAAGTGGATGAGGTGTATTCCCACTATGCTAAGCGTGGAAAAGACCGTGACTCTAGTCGTGGTCATGGTCGTGGTCGTGGTCGTGGCTGTGGCCGTAGACAAGGAAGAAATTTTCCTGGTGTTAATCATCCCCAAAAGAGAAATAACCACCAAAAGTGGAAAGGGAAAGATGAGAAGCCCAAGGCAAATGGTTCTGAAACTGAATGTTATCGTTGCGGTGGAAAAGGGCATTGGGAAAATATTTGTCGTGTACCAAGACATTTGGTTGAGCTTTATCAAGCATCTCCAAAGAATAAAGGCCCTGAAGCCAATTCTGTCTCTAACAATGATTTTGACATTACCCACTTGGATGTGGCAGACTTCTTTGAGCGCCCTGATGGAAAAATAGACCACTTGATCGGTGATGGATCTGTGGTTATAGATGATTGAGTAGCTTAATTTTTATTTTGCTTATTCGTAGTAGCTAATGAATAAACATCATGTAATCATAGTTCTTTACATGAGTAATAGTCATTAGTATCGATTAGTATTATTTGGTTTATGAAATAGTGTTAGTTCGTTTTGATTAAATATAATTTTTGTATTTGTTTAGACAATATTTGAATTTGCTTAGTTCCAATATTTAGTAACGTATTTGACCAGTGATACACTGTTTCCGCCAGCCATTCGGTCTTTAGAAAAATTATATGCCCGAGTTGGGAGAATATTGCACGCTTCAATTATCCTTCATGGAGAAATCCATCTCTCAATTTCATAGGTAAACAATATTAAAATATAATAAATGTTGTGAACATTGCTAGAGAGGAAATCAATAAAGAATGCACACGAGGAATATTGAATCTATACTAAAGCTTTTTCAGCTTTTCTTCCTCTTAAGAAAAGATCTTTTTTTACTTTCATAGGAAGCTTAGTTTCTATCAAACTTAAATCGTTGAAATAATATACAAAGAGGTCATTTCATTTCTAAAAGAAACCTCTAATTCTTTCTAAAATTTCAGTTTATTGATCCTTTGGATTCCTACCCAAATTTATACATGTAAAACTAGCTCATTAGAGTTTGCTCGAAATTGCATTAAAGTCATTATTCAATCAAAAATTTATTTTTGTTTCTTTCCCTTTATCTCTGAAAATACTAATGTTTATTCGTATATTTCTTTTGTATGTCAAATCATGGGAAGCAAATATGGATACCTCACAAAGCAAACTTGGATCAAAGTTTAATTGTAGGAATATTTGTTTAATTGATTCATGTACGACACATACAATATCCAAAGAGAAGAAATATTTCTCTCATTTAAGTATGTATAAGGCAGATGTTACTACAATTTCTGGTAGTAGTAATCTAATTGAAGGCTCTGGAAGAGCTACTATAACTCTGCCTAAGGGAACAATACTTATCATAGAGAATGCAATGTTCTCCTCCAAGTCCAGGAGGAACTTGTTGAGTTTTAAAGATATCCGCCGAAATAGATATCATATTGAGACAATAGATGAGAATAATCTTGAATATCTCATCATTACCAAAAATATCTCTGGCCAGAAAAGGGCTATCAAGAAGTTCCCATCTTTGTCTTGTGGCCTGTATTGGACAAGAACTAGTGCAATTGAGGCACATTCTATTGTAAACCAAAAGGTTATTGATTCCAATACTTTTGTACTTTGGCATGATCGATTGGGACATCCTGGATCAATTATGATGAGACAAATTATAGAAAACTCAAATGGACATCCATTAAAGAATTTTAAGATTCTTTTAAATAATGAATTTTCTTGCACTTCTTGTTATCAAGGCAAGTTAATATAAGACCATCACCAACAAAGGTTGTGATTGAGTCCCCTGCGTTTTTAGAACGTATACAAGGGGACATTTGTGGACCTATTCACCCACCTAGTGGATCGTTTAGATATTTTATGGTCTTAATAGACACATCTTCTAGATGGTCTCATGTGTGCCTATTGTCATCTCGCAACCTCGCATTTGCAGAATTAATGGCACAAATAATTCGATTACGGGCGCAATTTCCCGATAATCCAATTAAGTCTATTAGACTTGATAATGCTGTTGAGGTTTCATCCCAATCATTTAATGGTTATTGCTTATCAATTGGGATAAAAGTGGAACATCCTGTAGCTCATGTTCACACTCAGAATGGTCTTGCAGAGTCTTTAATAAAACGTCTACTGATAGCAAGACCGTTACTCATGAAAACGAGGCTACCCACTTTTGTTTTAGGGTCACGCCATTTTGCATGCAGCAATGCTAGTTCGTCTAAGACCAACAAATTATCATAAATATTCCCCGTTGCAATTAGTTTTGGGTCATAAACCTAATATATCCCATTTAAGAATTTTTGGATGCGCAGTATATGTGCCTGTAGCACCGCCATATCGCACCAAAATGGGTCCCCAGAGAAGGTTAGGAATATATGTTGGGTTTTGAATCACCCTCCATTATTCGCTACCTCGAAACATTAACGGGAGATTTGTTCACTGCACGATTTGCAGACTATCGATTCGATGAGACACTTTTCCCAAAATTAGGGGGAGAAAATGGTGAAACCAAACGGAAAATTTTGTGGAAAAATCCATCATTATCTCATCTTGATCCACGTGCCTCTATTTGTAAAAAAGAGGTGCAAAAGATTATCCATTTGCAGAGAATAGCAAATAAAATGCCAGACGCATTTACGGATTTGAAAAGGATAACAAAATCACATATCCCTGCAGAGAATACTCCAATCCGTATTGATGTTCCTATTGGACAATCTTCTAGTGTCATAGCTAATGAGTCGAAAGCACGCCTAAAACGTGGCAGACCATTGGGTTCCAAAGATCGAAATCCTAGAAAAAGGAAAATAAAATCAAAATGACACTACGAAAGAATCTCGTGAAGAAATCCACGATTTAATA